CATGCTGGGGCCCCAGAGAGCAGTGAGATGTGACCCCCTCCCTTAAAGATGCTCAAAACCTAGTAACAGAGGCAGTTTCCAAAGCTGTGGGGAAAGCACAGTGTTATATCCTGGGAAGACAAGGAGGGCTTCCTGGAGGAGGTGATGTCTAATCTGTCTCTCAAGTATGGGGGTGAAGTTAACGGGCTTATTTCATTTAAATTTCACAACAGCCCAGCTAAGTCAATGGTATCCCCAGCTTGTAGTGGAGGAAACCAAGGCTCAGGGAAAAAGAAGTAAAGCCAGAATTTTTTTCATTCATTTGTTCAATCCTTCCTTTATCCAATAAACATTACCATCTGGCTACTGGGTGCTGCTCAATGTGGCCAAAAGGGCTTCTAGTTTCCCTTTAAACCCTCTCAGCTCTGCGGTGACACCCACTGCTCCCCAAGTCTCTGCCATCCCTTACTGAGCCCTGCGGGGTTTCCCTCATGTGATGGCCCCCTCCCCACCAACCCCATCAGAGGGGATCCATTTGTTCATCTCGGCCGGCCTCCAACCCCAGGACGGGTGTGGGAGCTCCTCCCTGCCTGAGGTCCAGACCCCCCTGGGTCTACAGCTGCCCTGGGCAGCTGAACCAAATCCATGTGCCCATATCTCGGGCACGTCCACTGTCAGGCAGGACGCTGGGGAACCAGGATGTGGGCAGTGCAGAAGGTTCTGTCCCTGAGAAGCCTGGGTGGTTGTGAAGCTGGGTGGGCTTGGATCCCACTTGGCCCCTGTTCCTTCTCCAGAGCCACTCAGCTGGCGCTTCTAGCACTGGGACCCCCTTGTTGGACCACACCCTCTGATGATGGAGCTGGGGTCCCACCAAGGAACACCCAAAGGCCATCTTCTCTTTTCTTTCCCTGCAAGCTCGATGGTGGTCCTACTTATTAGCAACCCTAGTGGTTCCCCTTTCTATCACCAGTCCTTTGGTGGGAAGGGAAATACTCACCTCCCCCCGCAACCCAGACTGAATCTTAACGCAGTGAAGAAAAGGAAGAGAAACAGAGTTAAATTTCCATGTTAAAATGGGCCTACCCTTCATATCCCCCTGGATTTCCTCACTGGCCCCTTCTCTCCAGCCTCAACACATCCTAACCTGACCCAGCAACCACCCAGCACCAGCTCTGGCCCTTCCAGAGCATGTCCTCTGCCAGGGAAACCCCACTCCAGCCCTCAGATCAGGACTGAGCCTTGGTGACCTAGCAGAAGGAAAGACAATGGTGGTCTCTGTTCTCAAGGCAAGCTCATCCAATTTAAAGCCTTTTCTTTATCCTGAGCTGGTCTTTCCTATCTGAGTGCATGTGTGTGTGTGGTAAAATGTCCCTTCTTTTAGGAAATCACAGTAATAGTAAATAGTATTTTTTAAAAATCACTACTTGGTAGAATTAAGATCTGGCAGCTCTGTGTCTGTTCCTCAAGGTTAAGGAGTCGTAGCTGGGTGGTGGGCATACGTGTGCTCACTAATACTTTTCTCTCTACTGTTGAGTATGTGTGAAATTTTTCATATAATTTTTTTAAAAGTCTAGATGGGTTGAAAATTGAAATATTAAAAATTAAATTACAAAGGGATTAGGGAGAAAAAGACGAAGGTGGCAATTTGAGAAATCTAGAAGTTTTATGATGGTGAGGCCACTGCAGAGCTTTTGAAGTCACTCTCCTCCTTAAAGCCTGTCAATGGCTCCCCATGGTCCTCAGGAGATACGCTCAACTCAGATGCCTCCTCCTCCAGGAAGTTCTCCCTGACTTCAACCCTTCTGGTTAGGCTAGGAGCTTATCGTAATTGGAGACTTTGGGTGCCCACTTATGTTGGACGAGGTACTGTGTTATTTCTTTTCTTTTTAATATTTATTTGGCTGCGCCAGGTCTTAGTTGAGGCACCTGGGATCTTCCTTGCGGCATGTGGGATCTTTAGCTGCGGCATGCAGGATCTAGTTCCCTGACAAGGGATTGAACCTGGGCCCCCTGCATTGGGAGTGTGGAGCCTTAACCACTGGACCACCAGGGAAGTCCCTGCATTACTTCCTTTAATTATAGTGCACATGGCTCTGTGACCCACCTCAGTCTGGGATGGAGGAGCCTGAAGCAGATACCGGCAAGTCCTTTGATGATGAATGAGTAAAGGGATGCACGGATCAGTGAGTGGCTGGGCCACCTCCTCCCCAGGAGGGCAGGTGCCACACTCAGAGGTGTCCCTCGGAGGCACCGCCCCCTGTCATCAACAACACTGACTTGTCCCAGAGGACCAGAACTGGGACACGGACAGGCAAGAGAGAGACCAGGTTGAATAGGACGAAGGCTTTGTGCCTTACTTGGAAAGGAAAGGCAGGACATAGGTAGGCTTAAGACTTCCTCACCAGACAAAAGGTAGCCATTGGAAGAACAAGGCGGGCCCAGCTGCAGGGAAGGGTCACACGAAAGAGCATTGTCAGAGCATCGGTCAGTCAGAAAGACCAGGAGGTCTTTAAAAAGAATTTGTAATGAAATTAACAATGAATTACTGAGCATCTACTGTGTGCTAAGTACTAGGTACTGTAGTACAGCAGTGAATAAAACAAAAACTAACCTCAAGAAGCGTTTAGTCCAATGGATCTAGAAACAGAAAGTTCAGTTTTCAGTCCTGCTCAAGAGCACAGGGTTCATCTCATGTTTAATGTTATTTAAAGCATCACATTGTATAGAGTGCTTTTACTGTCCCGGGGTTCCCTGCAGCCCCTCCCCTGCTCCTAGGTCCAGTCGCTAGGCACTGCCCCTCTGGTCCTGTGCTACTGCTATAGCACAGCCTTGCTGCTCTTAATCCAAACAGTCCTTTCTTAAAGTACGGCCAGCCCTGAATTCGCCCTTCGGTTGCTCCGAAGCTTTTCCTGGCCCTCGCTGTCTGAGGATGAACCTCAAGTTCCTCTGTGTATCCTCCAAAGCTGCTGAGTCCCTCCCATTGTTTCCCCCCAGACCTGTGATCTCCACGACCTGGTCCTCCAACAGTTGTGCCTCCCCCAACCATGCTTCTGCAGTTCCCTCTGCTGGGTATGCCTGCCTCTGCCCCACCCCGGACTATCTGTATGTATGTCCCCCTCCCTAACCCTCTGCACCAAGCATGTCTTCTGAACTGGTTTCAATCTTGACTGTGTTCTTCACTAGCTGTGTGGCTTGGGCAAGGCTCTGAGCCTCTTCCGAACAGTAGAATCAAGGCAAGTAACATCTGCCCTTGGTTGCTGCCTTCCTAGAGGCCCAGCGCCCTTCAGGGCATGGACACAGGCGGGTAGGTATTATCACCAGCACTTTACAGACGAGACCTGGAGATTCAGAGGGGCACTGACCACCCAGCCAAGGTCACTCGGCCAATACAGGTGTCTAAATGCTTTCTGGGTCTCAGTTAACTAACATGTAATGTTGGGATGATGAACTCCTTCTAGATTCTGCTTCTAGCCACAGGCTCGCTGAAAGGGGTGAGCTGGGGCAGAGGCATGTTTGCACCAGAGCCCCAGCTCCCCAGGTGCTGGGGTTGACCCAGTTCAAGCTGAGCTCCATTCTCCCTGCCATTTGGCACGGGGGCTCAGAGAGTCTGAGTCAGGGAGGTGGAGGGCCAGCTGGGGCGGGTGCATAGGGGTGTAGCGGGACGCTGAGCATTGGGAAGGCAGCCCAGGGGCCAACTCCAATGGTCCTGCCATCCCGCTACCCCCAGGGGCCAACTCTGTCACTTTTCTCAGGCCTGGCCTCTGGGAGACAGCCCGGGGAAGCCCCGCAGGGAGCCTGCCTCCTGTCGTTGAGGTGGAGTGGTCATCTCTGACCAAGCCAGTGCCCCCAGGGAAACCTGCCGTTCTCCCTGCACGGGGTCCTCTTTACGACTCCAGGCCCGGCACCCATCTGAGCATTGGGACTGTTGGTTTCCCCCGGGGCGTCACCTCTCCCCCCACAACCCAACCTGCTCCAAAGCCCCATCCTGGGGTCTCAGGTCTCTCTCCCTGCCACCCAGACCTAGGCCCACGGTTCTGTTCTCCCTGTCCCGTGGGTGAAAATGTAACCTGCTCAGGAAGACCCCGACCACTCTGCGGTCTGCTTTACTTACCTGGTGTTGCCCAGGTGGAGTCTGACGTCTCCCACAGACGTCAAAGCCGGGACCGTCTGCTCCCTGCGCACCCCCGCAGGCTGGGCACAGACCAAGTGCCCGCTAGATTCTAAGAAGCTCCTGCGTAAATCCTTCCGCGAGGCAAAACAAAAACCTCCGCCTTTCCGCACTTCGCCTCCCTCACGGAACTGGGCGCACAAATTGGGACACCTGGCCCCTCACTTTGCCCCTGTAACTCCTGGTACTGTCGCCGCCTTTGAGAACAAAGTGACCATCCCCGACGGGCGACCCCTACGATCTTTATAAAATTCAACCGTGGAGAATGCGGGCGTCGATCCCGCTACCTCTCACATGCTAAGCGAGCGCTCTACCATTTGAGCTAATTCCCCAGCTCGAAAAGACTTCCGCCGCCGAAACACATTGTGGCTCACGTCATCACCCGTTTCCTCCAGGCCCTCCGACCCGCCTGCCCGCCGGTCTCGCTACCCCATTGGTTCTCTTGCAGCTCCCAGAGCTACGGCCATGATTGGTTTGGCTCAATTTAGTTTTAAAAAGCATTGGCTATCGGATTGGTGGTCCGCAGCGTCCGTCAAGCGGAGGCCCTGCTGTTGCTACGGCGTAGGGGGACCCGGCCAGGTTTCTCTCGGTTTCTGATTTGTTTCTCCAGACTCCGGGGTCCTAGAGGTTCCGGATCCGTCAAGTCCATGGGAAAAGAATGCGCCCCTCGCACTTGACGGACGGGGTCTGCGAGCCAATCGGAGTGGGTGCAACGGGGCAGCAGTGTGACCCAATAGGTTGCAGGGGGAGGGAGAGGGAGGCCAATGAGCGTGGAGCCGGGGGCGGGGGCAGGGCCTTGATTGGTCGCGAGGCGGCCGGAGGGAGGGCGGGGGGAACTCAAGGCCTGCTTGATACGTCCGCCATTTTGGGCGCTTCGCTGATGGTGTCGGTGAGCGCGTTTCCCGCCTGAGCGCAACTAGCGGCGAGTCGCGGGCACCTCCAGGTAATGGGGGGAGGGGGCGGCGGAGCGGACCACGGCGCGGGGTGCGCGGGGTGCGCGGCGCGTGGGCGGCGGCGGGGCCCCTCAGCCCGGCCTCGGCGGCTCGGGGAGGGAGCGTCCCGGCCCCCTCCCCTCCCCCCCGGAATTCGCCGCTGGGCGGCCGGGGAGGCGCGGCGCCCGGGCTCCCCGGCTCGTCCCCGCCCGCGCCTGTCAGCCGCTTGCTCCCCCGCCGCAGGCCGCGGGGGCCCCGCCGGGCCGGGCGTCTGGGTGGGTCGCGGGCCGGGCGGCGAACTTTGAGCCCGCGTTGACGTCCGCGGCCTGGCGCGGCGGCCGGGCGCGCCCCTAACCCGGCCGGGCCCCGCTCCGCTCCGGCCTTCCCACCCCGAGCGCCGTCCGCTGCCCGCGGGCCCCGGAGCGCGGAGTGTGTCAAGTTGAGGCGGCGGCTCGCCGGAGACTCGCGAAGGCCATTGTTGGACGCGGTTCTCCGGGAAACAAGTTCTGTGGGTTTCTGCTCCTTCGCCGTAGAGTCATCGGGATACGCAGAGCCCGGCTCGGAGCGTTTAAACCTTCTTCCGAGCGATTTGCTAACTCCGGTGTTGCGACTCCAGCGCAGACCTGGTCGCGAAAGCCTCCCTGGCGCAAATGCACTAGGGGGGTGGTCCTTCTTTCGGCCGCAAGTACCTCCCTCTTAAAGAAACCCTCTCGCCGTTCCCTCGGAGGGGCTTCCTCCCGGTCCTACTTGCCCTGATCACAACTTGGACTCTTGGTTGTAGGTGGACGGAATGAGTCCTTGGATGTACCTGTGTGTCCTGACGTTTCAACCTCGGAGCTTCGTGTAATTTTCTCGGTACTTCACCATTTTCTCTGTGGGTCGGATAGAGCTTTATGTTTTGTTTTTCTGGGAGGGGCGCTTGGGAGTTGTTTCCTTTCATCCTCACAGCACTTAATGTTAATGTGGCTGTTTTGTTAATGTGGAGTTGAATGCGATTATGTCCTCAAGGTCACGTTGTAGGTAGGCAGCAAGTGGGAAAGAGACTCCAGATTTCCAGCCACTGGAAAGTCTCCTAAGCGGTGGTAGTGGGGGAGCTTTCTTTGCTCTCGGGTTAGACTGCCTGGTTTCAGGTCTCAGCTTCACCACTTTCTAGCCCTGTGACCTTGGGCAGGTTACCCAAACTCCCTGCTCCTTCTGTGATACGGGAATAGCAGCAGCGTCTCCCTCCTTAAGTTTGTCGGGAGGAAAGGAGTTAATACGTGTAAAGAAGCTAGAAACGGTGCCTGGCGCGAAGAATACGCTGAGTAATTAGTGGCCATTATTAATTTAAATTTGATTTTTAAATGTTTAGATACTATTAGGAAGTCACGTGAGTGTTTAAGTCCTGGCTTTTGGTGTCTGTCCTTAGAAAGCTGTGTGTGTTTAAGAGTCATTTGGCCTGAGAACCACCCAGGAGAAGGGGTGGTTGAAGATTGATTAAATTACAAACGTTTTTTGGAGTAATTAGTGGTGGTGCCTCGGAATGGTTTAAGAGATGGTTAAATAAAGAAAAGGCCATCGGGAGCTCAAGTCGGATTCTGTTCCTACCGTACTTTTTGGATACTACGTATTGAGTGTGATTGGCCCCCAATAATTCTAGAGTTTCTTAGTGTACTCCTGGGTTCTTACTGAGATTCGAAAGGTTGCTGTGTATTGAGATACACTTCAGTGAAGATAGTTTGGGAAATAGCTGTTGTCCTGGATGGATATTTTGCATTTCAGTGTGTTTGATCAGAGTCTAGAGTATCTAACAAAATGCCACGCACTCACTCACACGTATACTCACAGTCTTTTGATTCTTGCCCCGTGCTCTTCTGCCTGGTACTTGAAACCATGCTTGCCTTTCCGCTGGAATTACTTGCTTGGGCCTTGGCTTGCTTCGTTGCACTTGGGGAAGTGTTATTTTGATAGACTTGGTCTTAAGTACAGATGAGCATCTCGCTGGTTTAACTTACTGAGGAACAGGAAGAAGATTGTTTTAGATTAGAAAACTAGCTTTTGTGTAAAGTATAGCAAAACCAAAACTTGCTGGTTTCAATTAACTGCTTGGGAATTTGAGAATCAGACCATAACTGGACAGAAAATGAATAGTGATAAAATTAAGGCTTGACTGGGTGAGGTTTGCTTGGCCTCTTTAAAGTAAATTTTTGCATTGATTTGGTACAAAGATAATGTGCTTGTTACAGATGAGACATCTTCCTTAAAACAGTATTGGTCAGGATTGGAATTTAGTTTACTTCTTTGATAAACTTGTATCTTGGGGTTTTGTATTTTGGATATTTGAGAGGCAGCCTGAGTGTGTATATTGGTCTAAAATTTTACAATGCTTTATTACCCTTAAGAATGATAGCGAAGTTCTTCTAACCGTCTGCTCAGCTAAAACTCAGCTCTGAGTTTATTTCATAAAAAGCACAAGAGGCTGTGGTTGCTCCTCCTCATAAGTCAAGACCTGAGCCCTGGTGTGAGCCAAGGATTCGCTGCTTTTTCTTAGGTGAGATGGATAGAAAAAAATAGACCTGGCCTCTTGGCTTTAAAAAGCTTTCTTATCTCTCCTTTCTTAAGAGAACCTCAAATGGTTGGTTTTTGATTTACTCTAGATCAGTGGTTCTCAACTGGAGGATGATTTTGCCCCAAAGAAACATTTGGCAATGTCTGGAGACGTTTTTGCTTGTCACATCTGTGGGGTTGGGCAGTGTACTAATGACTTCTAGAGGGTAGAGACCAGGGATGCTGCTAAACATCCTATGATGCACAAGATGGCAACCCTCTCCCCCCAGTAAAAAATTATCCAGCCCCAAATATCAGTGGTGCTGAGGTTGAGAAACCCTGCTCTAGATAGATGGCCTAATCTGGCCTGCATTGGAATCATTTGGGATACTTTTTAAGACCATGGGTGATGAACTCCACCTCTAGAAATGTGTGGTGAGAGTGAGAATATGTTTTTAAAAGCTCCTCAAGTAGCACTGAAGTGCAGCTAGTTTTTGGAACCACTCTTCTAGACCACAGATTTTAGGGACTGCTCGTGGGTCAAGGAATTCTTTGTGTCATCTGTGAGCTCTACCTATACCTAGATCCTACCTTGGACATTACTTAGTGGGGAAAGATGGTGTACGTACGTTATTTTTGGGTGCTGAACTTTAAAGGAGACTGAAATTAAAAAAAAATTTTTTAAGTGAATTTATTTTATAAAATAATTGAGAAACTGTTTTTTTTTTTTTCTGTTGCTTCATGAGAATCTATTGCCATAGCTGAAACTTAGTGCTGTCAGGTGTTTGGGATTGTTTGTGCCTATGCCAAACAGCATGTTTGTGCCTTATCCTACTGTGATTTTTGAGTTTTGTATCTTTTGCCCTCATCCTGTCAGTCAGCTGTCAGTTCTGTTTTTAGATGCCAGCTTCATCGTTATCTTTTTTTTTTTTTTTTAAATGAAAGCCTATTTCCAGAGAGTTAGCCCTGGATTGATTTGCCAATTCTGCCCTTTGAAGGCAAGAGAGAGGCACACTCTATGCTTATTGTTTAACACAGTGACCCTTGCTTGCTAGCAAAGGGGGATTGCCTGTGCCCTGGACTCTGACCCAAGTGGGTGAGTGTTTTTCCTCCTGGGGAGGTGAGGTACAGTAGAAGAGAGACCGGCAGAGATCCTTTTCTCACACACACTTAGAATATGCATGATCTAGTTTATTGAGTGGAAAAATGTTAGTATAAAAATTGTACAGATTTTTACCAACCAAATGTTAAAATCTCGACATATAAAAGGGAGGAGATCAGGGAGGCACTTTCTAATCCTTCATCCTGAAATCAGGCCTGTGGCTATGCTGAGAATGACAAGTGACCACTCCTCCTGTCTGCTTCTTCTAGTCGTCATTTATTTGGTCAGCAAATATATTGAATCCTTACCCTGTCAGGAACTGTATTAGGGATTCAGTCATGAACAGGCATTTAAGACTTGCAATCTATGGGGAGAGGCAGCATTGACAAAAGAGATGTCCTTTTGGCTGTGAGGCCAGGGAACACAGCTTGTTAGACTTGTATGTGGTGTAAATAGCAGACTCTTAATGAGAGGCCCTAGAGACTTGAGAGGAAAGAGCTTGTGTCTGCTGGTTGGGTGGTTGAGATTGCCAGAAGTCTCTTGCCAAAAAATAAAATAGTTACACCTTTGTTTCTCATAGGTATTGAATAGTTACTTCCACTTTCCTCCTTGGTTTGGTGTGTCTAAGCAGTGCCACTCTTCCCATGCTGGTGAAGCTGCTTTGCAGTGACAAATAGGATTGACCTATATTGTCTTTTGCTCCATAGATGTTGGTTGCAACATCTTGATCAAACTTGAAACACTGACTGTTCCCATACTGATCAGAGGCTTGGTGTAGGTTCATGCTAAACATCTTGAGCATCCTTGAAATCCACGGTGCTTCCAGTGGGAATGGGTTTTTTCCTGCTGCAGTCTGGATCGAGGTTGACTGTAGATTTGACTTTGACTTTGGCTTACATTTAGTTGCCACGGAAACCCCCTTTCCTTCTCCCTCCCCCTTTATTTTTCTTTACTGGGAGGGGAGAGAGAGTTACTAGTCAATGCCCAGTTTCAGGTTTTGAATGATTATGAACTGACATCTGGGTACCAGGTAGATTGGCTAGACGGTAAAGAAGCAAGTAAAAGGGAATCTTGGCAGTACTCGAAAGGCTTCTTAACCTTAAAAAGGGCATTTTTGTGTCACAGACTTTGCAAAGGTCTGGGGTTACTCTGAGTAGAGGAGGTTTACTACTTCTCACTTCTGCTGGCTAGTGTTGATCTGTTTTATTAAGTATTAGTGAAGACTACACAATCGACTGATTTTATACAAATAAAGTTTGATAGGTTCTGAGCATCTTTTTACTGATATAAGGAGACTCTGATTTTGTACTTCTCAACAACTCTGGAGAAAACTAGGGTATTATTAATTCCAGAATATCTTACAGCGGGAGTATGTATTGACTTGGAACGGTTTGTGTACACCAGATGCTGACTGCCCTGAAATATGGTGGCCCAAAGGAAAGATGAATGAGATTGTTTTTTGAAACATTAGGCAGCCGAACTAAAAAGGCGGCAATAAATAAATAAATAAGTAAAAGCAAGCAAGCCTGCAGAAGTAAAAGTATGACTGAATGTTGAGTCAGACTTGGAGAAAGCCGTGTGGATTGCTAGTGGGAGCCTGGAGTTCCCTGGACCTGGATGTAAATCTGAACAATAATGCTGGTGTCAATAGTAATGCGACACACTGACAAGGAGAGAAAGGGGAGCTTGCCTGAGAATGCATGGCCCTCTGAGACCCTATCAGGGTGAGTAGGCAGCAGTTACACTAGCCACTAAGGCACACTCCGGGGTGGCCTCCTCTATCCCGTAAGGCTTAGTGTAGTCAGTAGGCATTGGCTGGACCTTGGTGAAATCTGGGCCTTCAGTCCCCAGATGAGGCAGTGGTGCGAGGAACATTGACAAGTATTGACTCGAGTGGCTGTTTGGGGCTTCCTTTCATGAGAATCATGGTTTTGGAGGTCACTGATTATTAGAGAAAGATTTAGGTCATTCTGGAAAATCACCTGTAGGCAGCAGAGAAATCTCAGTTCCTGGGTGATTCCTTAGGGTTTCGGTGGCCCCAATAGACCGTAATTTCAAGTGTCATTTGTTTCAACAATAACATCATAGCTGGAACTCACAGCGAGTTAAGAATAAACACAACATTGTAAATCAACTATACTCCCATAAAAATTTAAAGAAAAACGAATAAATGGTTAACTTCTGAGTTGGTGTTTTGTTTGTTGTTGTTGTTTGTTTTTTAGTGGTA